GAATTTAAGTAACTTTTCATTTTTGCAATCAACGTGATCAATTATAGCGAAGGTTCACCCCACAGGATGAGTCATCACGCCTGTAAAAGGTTCTTTTCATATGTAAAGTAGGCTAACTGCTATTTTTGAATTTAAAATAACATTGTAAAATCAAAAAGCTTAAAAGCCTCCTAGATTCAATTCAATGGTATCTTGAAAAGTTGCCATCAAGCAAAAAAATTCCACAGGTCAAAAGATATTGGAGGAAAGCAAAAAGATAAAAGAAGCAAAAGGGAACTGCACACCAGCAAGAGACCATCTGTAGACCAGGAAACATAAATCCTCTTAGAAACACAAAGGCTCATTTATTATTAAATACACTTTACATTGGGCAGTTTCTTTAATGTGAACGTTTGTGGTAAGGGAGGGAAGAACAGGAAGCAATTTATTGCAGCCAGGTACTTCAAGAAGGCTTGAGTCACAATATAAAGCCAGTATGTGCCTATAAAGCCAATATAAAGCTAATATGTAAAATATCTCCTCTATCACTTCAGCCCTGTGTTTCTAGAGTGTAATTATGGACCTTTTGCCAAGATTCAGAAGGCACTAGATTATTGTGGGTGGGTCACACTGTGCTCAGCATTCCACACAAACCTGCAAAGAAAGAAGCACTCCGGATGAGCCGGAGGGGAACTCCTTCAGATACACCCTGCAGCATTTTGCTGCTATACAGCTGTAACACACCTAAGAAGAGCAAGGCAGAGATAGTGCAAGACAAAAAACAAACAAAAACAATTAAAGACAATGTATGGAAAATAGTTTAAAAAAAGAACAAACACAAAACAGATGGTGTCATCAGGAAAAGATTGTTTAAAATAAATATTATTTACCTAGATTACTTCCACTGCGACAGCTGCCCAAACCATTTTGATTAGAGCTCAACTTTCCCACATTGGGATCTTGGTTGATGTATTCAAAGCTATCTTGCAAGCTAAAAAGGGAGAAATATCAAGGTTTCTAAGGAAGTGGACAGAATAGCTTCCACTATCATCAAACTACATTTTGTTTATTTGCTTTGTTTTGTAAATCTAACCATCAAGTTCATGGAATAGCAGCTACTCCTATATTATAATAGATATAAGAATAGAAAACAGAACATGGAGGACTACAAATTTTAAGACTGTACCTTTTGGAATTAACTACCTTTCCATGTCTGGTCACTGCTCTCAGCGATTTTGAAGGGTAGGGGGAAATGGAGAAAAAAAAAACACGGAGCTATTTATGAAGGAGAGAGAAAGCAGGAGTAGAAAAATACATGCACACTTTCCTTATTATATTAAAGAGGTAACTTGTTGAGTGGGGAAAGGTGTCACGGAAGATAGAAACCCAAGTTCTTTGAATGTTTAATCCAGGCCTCTTAACTGTGAGTTTCACCCACTGCTCATCCAGAGGCACATGTAAAGAATTTAAGGGCACGTCTACACAGCAATTCAACACTCACTCCGGGCTTGGGTCATTTGACTGGCCCACGGGGCTTGGGTTGCAGGGTTGTAAAACTGCTGTGCAGATGTTTGGGTTTGGACTGGGAGTACAGACTCTAGGGTCCCCAAAAGGGTGGAGGGTCCCAGAGCCTGGGTTCCAGTCTGACCATCTACACTGTACGTTTTAGCTCTGCAGTCTAACCGCACGAGCCCAAGTCAGCTTATCTAGGTAAGTTGCTGCCATGTTGCAAATCATATCCCAGTGTAGATGTGCCCTGAACGATCCCATTCCCCACTCGCCTACATGGGACAGCTAAAGCTCAGCATGTGAATATAACTCATGAACACTCCCTTTCACTCACTGCCAGCAGAGATTTGGTCATTTGGTCTGAGAAGCCCTCCAGTTTTATACAGACCAATTGTACGAGGAGTGACAGAAGAACTCTAAAATGAGAAATGGGGGAAAAAGAGACCGGAAACAACTTAACTTACTTATTTGTGCTGCCACTGAAGCTTCCCACTCTGGCTGAGAACACTTTACTTATCATAAGCTGCGGAGGAGAGCTGAAAGGATAAACAATTATCATCATCTTAGTGACTCAACAGTTCCAATACTTTCTCCTTCCCCGTTTCTAAGCATTTGGCAACATGAAATAATCCTAGAAGAGGAAACAACTCACCGTATATAGTGGATTTTCAAGGTAGAGCCTTTGTAACTCATTGCCACTGAGCCAAACATCATTTCTCCAAGCATGTTGACATCAGAGGCTGGTCTGGTATACTATAAAAAGAGAGTAAAAGAAGCAAATCAAAACCTATTGCATCAGTTTAGTGTGGTGCTCACCACTACTGAATTTTGAATGTGAAACACACGTAAACTGCTTCCTAGTGAAGAGCAGCATATACCAAGAGGTGTTTGAACAATGTGGACTTCCAATTACAGTGCATGCTACATTTAGTTCATCAGGGAGGCCCAACAGTTCCTATTTTAATCAGCTCTCCCAAATACATGCAATGAAGAAATCCACACAGAGTCTTTGCAGCTGGGCCAGACAAGTAATTTTATATCTCCTTCCCACATCCCTGTGCTGTAGGATGTTGCTTGAGAAATACTGCAAGTCTGAAAAGTCTGGACCCTTAGGCTATGTCTAGACTACGCAGAAGATTCGAAAGAGGATATGCAAATTCTGCAGGAATTTGCATATCTTCTTTCGATCTCACTTTAGAAAGCGGAGCTTTCAAAAGTGAAATTAATCGGGACCCAGCTTTTTTGCCAAACCCCCCCTTTTTCGAAAAGCCACGTAAACCTCATTTTTTGAGGAAAAGCTCCACTTTCAAAAGTGAGACTGGAATTTGCATATCCTCTTTCAAATCTTCCGAGTAATCTAGACATAGCCTCACATGTTACTTTAATATTGAAAAAATCTTTTCTTGTCTAAATTAACTAATTTTGATAGCAAGATATACTTAGAATGACAATTTTAAAATAAACAAAATAAGTCCCGTTTCTTATTACATTCCAGAGTTTCTACAAACAGAAAGAGGATCCTCTCATACACAAGCCAGGGTACATCTAGACTACAGAGCTTCTCTGGGATACTAAAGGTATTCCAGAAAAGCCCTGTCAAATCCAAGGAACACGTCTGCATTTCCGAAAAAAAGTCGGAAAAATTGACATGTTTTGTTGGCATCCCTGTAAACCCCATTTTATGAGGAAGAAGGGGTGTTCTGAAAAAGGTTTTTCCCCCCTCGCATTTGGCCCAGTGTAGATGGGCCAAATGTCAGAAAAGTCTCTTCTGAGAAAAGAAGCAGAAAAAGATACACAAATTGCAGTTCATGATTTGCGTATCTTTTTCCGGAAGAACTGTGTCGTCTAGATATAGCCCGTATGTATAAGTATCTTAACTGTGATATGAACTCTCTTGCATTTCAACACCAGGATACATTTTTTCTTCCCACATACTACTACTATTTTTTTTTTTTAAAACAAAGCCAATCAAATAAATTCTCTCTCGTCTCTTATAGGAAAGTGGTTTGCCTGGTTTGGAGATTCACACAAACCGAAAATTCATTTTTCCGAGCCTTGAATGTTGCTGGTTTTTTCCATCGGTACCCTAGAAACTCACCTGTGGGCTTTAGGAGACTGGGAAAGTGGCTAAAGGCAACAGATCTTGCTCTGTGGAAATTGCAGCCTTTCTCTAAGTTTAAAAAGTATTAGGGGAACAGCCACACTAGAGCATTTGCAGGTATAGCTGGGCCATTATAAGGTGTCTAATGTAGCTGCTCCATGCAGAGAGAGAGAGAGAAAGCTCCAATTGGCTTAAGTACTTCAGCCCCAATGAGCAGCTGAAGATACATCAGTGAAGAAACTCTCCCCCTAACAGATATTTAAATCCCTGCTTCATGACATCCATACCAGCACTTATGTTGGTATAACTTATGTCACTTATCGGGGAGTGATTTATTCTCCTTCTCACCAAGGGTGTGTCTACACTACACCTCTCTGTCGACAGAGATGTAGATTAAGAATGTCGAAATTGCTAATGAAGCAGGGATTTAAATATCCTGTGCCTCATTAGCATAAACATGGCCACCGCTATTTTTTGAAACGGAGCTTTTTTGAAAAAACGCAGTCTAGATGCGGATCTGTTGAAAATAAACCCTTTTTCAACAGATCCTGTATTCCTCGAAAAATGAGGTTTACAGGATCTGTCAAAAAAGGGTTTATTTTTGACAGATCTGTGTCTAGACTGCTGGTTTTTTCCAAAAAAGTGCCGTTTTGAAAAAAAGCGACAGCCATGTTTATGTTAATGAGGTGGGGGATATTTAAATCCCCGCTTCATTAGCAATTTCGATGTGCTTGATTTGCATCCCTCTGTCGACAGAGGGATGCAGTCTAGACGTAGCCCAAGTGACGAACTATGCTGACATAAGCTATAGTATAGACCAGTGTTTCTCAATCAGTGGTACGAGTACCCTTTGAGGTACTTGAGAAAAGTATGGCGGGGTACATCTACACAACTGAAATTTGGAGAAAACTGAATTTTTTGTTTTACGTTTCACAGCGCTTTATTATTTTTGTACTTTTTACACCCAAAAATTTCATTGCCTGCCTGGCTACGATTAAGTTGTTTAAACAAATGTGTTGCAATGGTAGAAAAAAAATTGTGTGTGTGTCAAAAAAACTGTAGGTACTGGGGGTATTTTTTTTAGAGGGGTACTTTATAAAAAGGGTTGAGAAACACTGGTATAGAGCAGTGTTTCTCAAAGGGGTCTGCAGACCCACTCAGAGAACTGCTACCTGGGCCTCTCTGGTTTGTTTATTTACTGGCTCTGCAGCCACGGACCCTTGCAGCTCGCATTGGCTGTGGTTCTCCATTTGCAGCCAAGGGGAACCATGGTAAGCAGCGTGACCCAGGCTGCCACTTCCTGTGGCACCCCTTGACTGCATACAGCGAACTGCAGCCAATGGAAGCAGCAAGGATCCATGGTTGTGGAGCCGGTAAGTAAACAAACTGGAGAGGCCCAGTAGCAGTTCTCTCAGGGTGTGTCTAGACTACAGGGATTTTGAGAAAAGTGGCCTTTTTTCGAAAAATCTTTACCTGTGTCTAGACTGCTGCCACGTTCTTTTGAAAGTAAATCAAAAGAACACGGCAGTTTTTTTCAACCATGGAAAACCTCGTTTTACAAGGAATAACGCCTTTTTTCGAAAAAAGACGCTATATAATGCAAACTGTGCTTTTTCGAAAGAGAGCATCCAGACTGCCTGGGTGCTCTTTCGAAAAAGCGGCTTGCTTTTTCAAAAGTACTGGTTGTAGTCTAGACGCACTTTTTCAAAAGATACTTTCAAAAAAGCTTCTTTCAAAAGAGGCTTGCAGTCTAGACGTAGCCTCAGAATGGGTCTGCAAACCACTTTAGAAACACAGGCACAGACACAGCTTCAGAGGCAGGCTTCTAGGAAAAAAAATAAAAGCAGAATATGCCCTTTTTGAAGCAAAAATGAACATTAAAAAGTCACTTCCAACAGAAACTTTTTTTAAGCCTATTATTAAGGTAGCATCTAAGGGAAAGTCTACACAGGAAAAAACCCACCAACACAAACCACCACAACAGCAAGTCTCAAAGTCTGAGTCATCTTACTCAGTGCACATAGTGTGCATGCTCCTGCTTGCTCTGGAGAACCTCCTTCCTCACCAGTTCTCATGGCCCATGCTCCAGCTGGAGCCCATAATATCTACATTGCTATTTTTAGCCTCACAGCAGGAGAATGAGTCAGTTGACCCAGGCTCTGAGCTGGCTGCTGCTGCTGCTACTGGGTTGTGGGATTTTTTTTTTGGATGCATAAATGTACCCTAATATTACCAGAACTAAAAGGCAGAAGAAATATACCTTATCTACCCTCCAAAACCAACACGTTTTATATAAGGTCTAATTTTCTTTTTATAATTGACAGTATTTTGTTTAGTCAGTTGCACCATTTCCTCAACATGGGATGCTCAGCACATAAGAACCTTATCCTATGCTCAAGTTTCGTAATTTGTTAATACAACAGTAGTCACACTGAGTGGGGTGTGACTAGTCATATGCTTTAAATCTTCACAGGAACTTTGCCTCAGTTTCCCCTGTTTATAAGGGACTTGAAAATATTTAGTCTTTTTTTTTAAGATGACGACTAGATTTCACATTGACAGGATCCATTTAAAATCCTTCCCATAAACCGGGGTGGGCAATAATTTTTGATGGGGGGGGGCACTCCAAGGTTTTGGAAAGTGGTCAAGGGCTGCACTTTTCTATGGAGGAGGTGTGGGGTTTGGAACGGAGACTGGGTGTAGAAGAGAACTCACAGTAGAGAGCTGGAGTTCAGGAGAGAGTGAGGGTTCTGAGAGAGAGTTTGAGTGAGGAGGGGGTTGTGACCTGGGGCAGGGGCTTAGGTGACAGGGTCAAGGAGGGGGTATGGGTGAAGGACAGGATTCTGACTTGGTGGATGGATGCAGAAGTGGGGCTGTGATGGGGTGAGACCCGCCTGCCCCCCTGAAACGGGTCCACCCCGTACTGACCCCGCGATTGCCCTCTCGCTCATGGGGGCAACACCGCAGGAGCTAACCGCTTGCAGGCTGTGTAGCGCCGCGGCTCTGCAGCTGAGCGGCTGGTCGGCAGCCGTTGCCCAGCAACGCGGATCGCACGGCCACAGGGCAATGGCGGCCGGAAGTGATGGCAGGGGCGGAAGTGACATCAGACGCCTGGGAGGAAGGGCAAGGAGAAGGGGGATAAAAGCCCCAAGGGAATTGGCAAAGGGGGGGGAGAGAGACAGGAGAGAGACAGGGGAGGGGGAAGACAGCTATAAGATAGGTGCGAAGGAGGCGGGGTGGAAGCAGCCCAGGGCAGGGCACGGAGCCGGCACACCGGTGGGTTAAGGGTATGTACCCCCTCCGGTGGGACAGGTCCAGGAGACTCTGTTTTTAGGGCCCTGGGCTGGGGTCTGGGAGTGAGGGTGGGCCCAGACCCCGCACTCCACACACCCAGCGGAACATACTTTTAAAAGCGGCTACCAATCAGTAGCTAGGGAGCGGAAAAGACAAGCGGGAGAGAAGGGGGTGGGACCAGACCCCCACAGGGGCGCAAAGGGTTTGTGTTACGATCTGGAGCAGGAGATTGGTATACAAAAGGGAGTACATGGTAGGAGAGGGGGTATGGATGCAGTAGAGGATTCAGGCCAGGAGGGGGGGGGTGCAGGTTCTGGCAGGGAGTTGGTACCTGGGGTGGAGAGGAGGGAGGTACAAAGGGTTTGATGATACCTGAGGCACGGAGGGATTGAGAGCCAGATGCAGGCTTTCACGGAGAAGCACTCACCTAGACTGACTCCCTGTCTGCTGTAGCCTGCTCAAAGAGGCTGGCTGCTGGGGCCATGTGCCTCTCTGCGCCATGGGACAGGGCCAGCCAACGGGAGCTGTGATGATTGTGCTGGGGGCAGAGGTAGCACTCAAGTCATCGCCAAACAAGGGGGTGCACAGAGGCTCACTGGCTGCTTTGAGTGACCTAGAGCTGGGTATTTGCCTGCCCCTGCCAGAATCAGTTGGGTTCAACCACTCTTGAAATTATTAACATTGCTCTTGCAATGGAGGACTGAGACAAACACTATTTTCTAGGCCAAGAACATGGATAGCCATAGAGCACTTATATACTTTAAACATTTCTAAGCTGCAGTTATAACTATTTTAACATATAAGTTCAGAAAAACTGAACTGTGAAAATTATAAAAAAAAAACACTGAAAGCTTAGGAACTGCTCAATTTATGTAACACTTTACTTATAAAACACCCTTTTGCCTCAACATAAGGAGGGAAAGAAATGCAGTTCATATCCCCAGCATCAGTTTTTTATTTGACACATTACAAATTCTACTTAAGATCACAAATGTGTTTAAATATTTCAACACAAAGTTAGTATCTTTAGTCCTTCAGTGAAAATCTATATATAGATTTGCATAGATGTGTGACCGTTACCTGGTACTTTGGAAGCTGGTCCTTGACATGCTGTGTGCAGCCCCCTGATGGACCACGGAAAGAAATACTATTGGTCCCACTGCTTGCATGGCAGCACCTGGCAGAAGCCTTTCCTGGAGCATCTTCTACTATTTTCTGTCGGAAAAGGTTGATGGTGAATGTACGTTTAACAAACACAAAGATCTGTTTCTCTAGCTGCACCCCTGTGATTTTTGTTCAGAAGATACTGGAACAATTTGAAAGATTGTATTTGTTGATTTAAAAAAAAACAACCAACAATCCACGTCACATTAGTAACTCTGGCTTTCAAGAGAAAGAGGAAAGTGGTGCCCAAGAGAACAGAAGTGTGGGATTATTCTTGAGCTTAGTCTGCCAATGAATTATGCTTTTTTATTATAGAAATAAATGGCACACACAGTATATAAATACTCTGCTTCTTCAATAATCATGATCCTGGCCAAAGTAATTTGTCACAAATCTATCTACAGCAAATGGGTCTTTTTTTCCCTGCTAGAAAGTTATAGAAAACTAGGAGTGAGCTGTAGTCTATAACAGTTTGCTAACACTTATGCAAATAAATCATTTTATAAGCTGCTTTCTATGAAATTGCATGGTGTTGTTTCCGCTTCACAAATTAACAGCAGATTTCTTCAACAGAACAAGCAGCAAAATACAAATAGTGAATAATTAGCAGGGATATTAGAATGAATAATCATTTGTGTAGAAGCTTAAAAACAAACCCCTGGCTGAATACTTAGTATGTAATAGTCACCTGTCAGTAACTGCACTGCCAACTCCTCAAGTTTACTCTCAAATCAGTGTATTGTTGGCTTGCTCTGTTTGTCAGTTTTTAATACAGACTCTTAATCTTCTACTGTTGCATGCTGTTTACATGGGTAATATTTACCACTAAGGAAAAAAGTATTTAGCTTTTTAAATAAAAATTTAAAATAGAAGTTCTTGCATGCAGAGTTGCCAATTTAGAAACAATATTTAAAAAACACAAACACCTTTTTAGCTATCCATCAAAAGGGCTAGTTTGCCTAGAATAAATGCTTACAAAGGACTCATTTGGTTACATCTAAGCTAGAAACAGGGGTATATGAAATACTGTGCTCTCATACAAATATCTATGGTAGTTTTCATCAAGCAAGCATGATAAAAACAGTAGTGTAGCAGGGCTGGCATGGGCTGTATGGACTAACTACCTTAAGTATACATACCCAAGGGGTTCAGGAAGGCTAGACCATGTTGCCGTTTGCTGCCACCTGTGTTGCCCCAACTACACAACTATTTTTAGAGGGCTAACTTGATGACAGCTACAGTGGGTATTTCTATACCATCTGGGACTTAACCCCCACCTCTAAGCATAGACATACTCTGAAAATCTTTTGGTCTCTTAAACTACTAGTATTGCAATAAATGACAAGAGGTCTCGGTCAGGAAGTCATTGTATAGGGTAGTAGACACGAATACCAATGAATCAACAATCTCTGGCAGTGTCACATTAAAGAAATGCCCTATGGAGTAACTACATCAATGTACACATGCTTCACTGATGCAAAGTAGGGTTTATTGGATTAAGTTGCATCTGTGTACATTTTGCTTTATATCCACGTATTAGGAGTTTGCACTAAAATAGTTATATCTGGATTTCCTTAATGTGGAGAAGTCTTTAGCAGATGCCAAGAGAAGAGAAAAACAGGTGGATAGAAAAGAGATAACAGACATTGTTGTATTTGATGCAATAAGCAGCACATCCATTATCTCGCCAACTGCTTTGCATTCCAGATCATGGAAAAAAGGGTGTGTCTACACTACCCCGCTAGTTCGAACTAGCAGGGGTAATGTAGTCATCCGCAATTGCAAATGAAGCCCGGGATTTCCTCATTCCACGAGGAGTACAGCTAGCTCGGATTAGAAACCTAATCCGAACTAGCTAGTTCGTGCCGCGTGTAGCCGCGCGGCACGGGGTTCGAACTAGCCAGCATTTAAAAATGGCGCCGGCCGGCTTTATGCAAATGAAGCCCGGGAAATTCAAATCCCGGGCTTCATTTGCAATTGCGGATGACTACATTACCCCTGCTAGTTCGAACTAGCGGGGTAGTGTAGACATACCCAAAGAGATTATAAAAGGGATATAATAAAATTGGAAGCTAAATATTGCACCTCATCTTTTTTTTTTTAAAAAAAATGCAGTGTTGTTATCAAGTAAACATCTTGATTGTTAAGTGAAGCACCACTTTGGTAGAGTTATAAAACCAAGAAAATGGGAATTTAAGACATGAGCGTGGGTGGGGCTCTTCTGGGTCATTTCCAGAGACAACCCAGAAGTGCTCTCATAATTCTAGAGAGCAGAAATGTGTTTGACTTAGAGATGTAAGCAACTAGTTGACTATCCAATAAGCAAAAGCTTATCAGATAATCGACACACTAGTCAACTAGTCACTCCTCCCGAGAGATGGGGGGGGGGGGGGGGATAGGAGAGGGTACTGGGGAGGAAGTTGGCTTAAAAGCCAGTTTCTCCCAGCTCCATGGGAAGGGGCAAGGGCACAGCGGTGGCGTTCCAACTTTGAACTGTACACAAGTCCCCGCTGGGGTTCTTGTACATTTCAAAGATGGAATGCCGCGCTAGTCCATATTGACTAACTGAATGGTCAATGGTAATCCCATTGACTATTCGATTAGTTAATCAAAATTTAACACCCCTAGTTTGACTACAGAAGTGGCACACGCAAGTCCTCTTACTATCAATTATAAAAATAACCAGACATGTGTAGAGGATTTTGTTGTTTTTTTCTACATGGGGCTGACTGGTCTTTCATATTTTACCGCATATTTGCATTCCTTTTGTGCTGCTTTTGCTTGGCACTGCATTTATGTAACTGCTGCTAATCTAATCCCCAATGTGACTGTCATTAGGTGGTTACAAATGCACAAATGTTAGTAGTCATGTGCTTGACACAAGCTCTTGACAAAAATGGCCTTAATATAAAAAAAAGTGTTCTGTTCTAGGTTATCCACAGGAATAGCAAGAGAATAACACATTAAATATACTACAGCACAATTAATCACACATTTCAATACCCTTGTTAAATTGAAGATAATCTGCCTGGGTTTCTCAGATATGCATACTGAAAGGTAAAACTGCTTTAAATCTGTATTTTGTCTTTATATGAGAAGAAGCTCCCTAATCTTTTGCTCCAGGCTTGATCTCGTTCCAAACTGAAGTCAAAAGGAAGTTTGTCATAGAAAAATGGATGCAGGTTTGGGCCCTAGCCTGGAAATCTGGAAAATTCAAGTGCATCAAATGTTAATTAGATAATTTCAAAGCCATACATAGTTTTTGACAGTCAATTCTGAATATTTAAGATGTAAGTGGCTACTTTCACGAATAGGAAATAAGATGGCACAGAATTTGGTGCAGGATGTTTTGAACACACAAAAGGAGAATCTCTCTCCATGAAAGGACAATATTTTTAAATGGAAATTTATGCTTCATACATTAACTTGTTTAAAATGTTTATGCCTCTAAGAGGACCAAAATAGGTTTACATAACTGTAAATACACCTCATTTTTCTAAAAGTAAATGCAACATGGTGCATCAACCCCTTAGATATACAGCACTGACCTTGGTACTGGGACTCATGACAGAAAAAACTGGATTAGTATAGGCCACTCTGACCTATTTACCCACTTAACTAGATGATCTGTCATGCGCATCATGTGTGCCGTACTTATGTGGGTTAAGCCAATATGTGATACTCACTGAAGCTTAATTTAAATAGAGGTTCAGATGGCTGTGTTCAAACTTTTTCATGAGAGCCATTTCCACAATGCACTGCTATTTAAGTCTACACTATAGCTAGCATTACATATTGACTGTACCAGTTAACATATTCCAATTAGCAGTATTAGCTGTGATTTGAAATCTATCCAATAGATTTGTTTTGTAACAAAATAAAGTTTCAGGGTAGTCCACGCTTAAAACACTGCAGCTTCTCCTTTCAGTGTAAGATGAAGAAATGAACACTGTCTTTTTAAAATTATTTACCTTGAGGGCAAGAGAACAAAAAAAATATAATCAAAGGATAACAGTGTACTATAGTGTTTCATACCTGAGCTGCCGCCTCATCAACTTTACGAACTGCTTTGGAATCAAACAAGACTTGTCTGCCTCTTCTCTCACAATCCTGGTAAACTATCAGGCGGATTTCATTCAAGTCAAAGTCTGAGCAGGGCCAGCTGCAGATTGCAAATACAGTCAGAAATTATATTCTCTCCAGAAAACTAAAGGGATTTAATAAGTGAAGAAAGTATGTACCATCAGTTAGATCTTTTGCACAATGCCGGCGGGAACCAAACTGAAATTTCAAAACAGCATCCGGAGGAGGATTTCAGAGATGTGCTGAGTGAGCACCCATGATTTGAAAATGAAAAAGTCATGTTATTACAGCGAAGCGCATGTAGGGAGGCAGTACAGCTATAGAAGCAGCAGCATAGTCTTCCCTGCAAGGATTTTAAACCTTTTTTATACATTCTTGTGCTAGTGACATATTGTCAGATCTCAGTTATCCTCATATACTAAAAAGAGGAGAAATCCTTTCAAGGCAGTAATGTTTCCTGTATTATTTAAAAAAAAAAAAAGAGCTGAAAGCTGAAAACTGCCACCAGCACCGAAAGGACTAAAAACATGAATAAGGAGGTGGCAATAGGAATCCTGAAAACCCAGATAGCCACCACATGCGCAGGAGTTTTAAACTGGAGAGGGGAGGAGACAACCTGGGAGACTACAAGTCAAGTACTTA